ATTTTTTTGAGACAAAGTCTCTCACTGTCCCAGCCTGGAGTACAGTGGTGTGATCTCAGCTCATTGCAACCTCCGCCTCCCAGGTTCAAGCAATTATCCTGCCTCAGCTTTCTGAGTAGCTGGGATTACAGGCACCTGCCACCATGCGCAACTAATTTTTGTATGTTTAGTAAAGACGGGGTTTCACCATATTGGCCAGGCTGGTCTCAAACTCCTGACCTTGTGATCTTCCCACCTTGGCCTCCCAAAGTGCTGGATTACAGGCATGAGCCACCGTGCCCAGCCTGTATTTCTTACAGAGAACTTGAAGCCGGCCAGGGGTGGTGGCTCACGCCTGCAATCCTAGCAGTTTGGGAGGCTGAAACAGGTGGATCACTTGAGGCCTGGAGTTTGAGAACAGCCTGGTCAACACGGTGAACCTCATCTCTACTGAAAAAAAAAAAAATACACAAAAATTACCTAGCCATGGTGGCACACGCCTGTATTCCCAGCTACTCTGGAGGCTGAGGCAGGAGAATTGCTTGAAGCCAGGAGGCAGAGACTGCAGTGAGCTGAAATCACATCACTGCACTCCACCCTGGGCAATGGAGTGAGACTCCATCTCAAAAATAAAAAAAAGGAAAGCACTTGAAGCCAAGCATGGTGGTTCATGCCTGTAATCTCAGCACTTTGGGAGGCTGAGATGGGTGAATTGCTTGAGCTCAGGAGTTCAAGAGCAGCAAGGGCAATGTGGTAAAACCTGTCTCTACAAAAAATACAAAAATATATTAGCTAGGCATGGTGGTGTGCACCTGTGGTCTCAGCTACTCGGGATGCTGAGATGGGAAGATTGCTTAAGTCCAGGAGCTCGAGGCCACAGTGAGCCATGATTGTGCCACTGTACTACAGCCTGGGTGACAGAGACCCTGTCTCCAAAGAAAAAAAAGTACTTGAAATATACTCATTAAAAGGTTGCATGCTAATCAAATAATTCTGTATTCACCGAAGTAAAATGTTAAAAGAGTCCTGTGGAATGTTCTTTTAGAAGGAGAAGTCAGAAGTACTGTGCCCTAGTACTGTGTAAACTTAGATTAAGTTTTGGGCCTCAGTTTCCTCACTTGTAAAATGAGAAGATTGGACCAGATGATCTTTAGAGCTCCTTAACAAATCTAAAACTGCATCACTAAAATGTTTTGATATTTTATTTGAGGTCTTCTTGAAAGATATCTTTCTATTTTGAGGAATTTTTTGCAGAACTAAGTTTATTTTTCTCTATGATAAAATAGACTCTTGGAGGACAATTTAGAAATAGAGAAAAGTAAAAAGAAAATAGAGGGAGGTATTCACAGAACCACCACCTTGAAGAGATAATTATTCATCTTTCTTCATCCTCTCTGCCTGCAACCAACCCTATCTCCACCACTTGCATCAGTTAAGACCCTTCATGGGCAGACATGAAAGATGCATCAGGTTTGTGTATTTGGATTTCAGCCATATTACTTATGGCTGCCTGACCATAAAAAGACAAGATTCTAAGAGCTAACAAATTACAGCTGTAATTGAGAGAAAGATTCATCCATATTTCCAGGTCACAGAATGACAAAGTCATCCACTTCTACCAGCCGGAGCCTCCTGCCTAAACAGCTAAAACCAGCAACATAAATAGGAGACTAAAAAAGAGATGAGCAAGTTCTGGTTTTCCTCACTCCAAGTCAGATGTTTCCAGAGGTAGAAGACATTTCAATATCAGTAAGTGACTAGCCTTCCTATTTTGTATACCCAATACAACCAAAATAAAAGTAACATACCAATGAGAGAGAGAAACTTGGATCTCCTCCAAGTCCACACCAGGTTCCCTAACAACTGGTTCAGGAAACATAACAGAACAGTATCACTCTAACTGAACTTCCCTTCTTGGGAAGGTGGCAGATGCAAACAGATGTGCACAAAGGAGAGTTTGAATCTTTAAAGTGTGATATCTCATTCTCATTAGGTAAGAAGAGAGCAAACAGGATAGTGAAGGAGCACCAGGTCTAAGCTCTCCCCTAAATTACATTTCTAGTTTATCTGTCCCTTGCTCCAGCCCCTGCCAGCCAAAACACAGGACAGACACCATGAGGATTGTCACCAGTGGTCCATGACTCCCATTTCAGCAGAATTACTGCTGGACCAAGGGATTTCCCCAGCGAGGCTCCTCACAGATGAGAAATGCAACAGGATTACAAAAAAACCAGCAATTCTGCTTTAAGCAGCCAGCTACACTGGATGAAAAAGGATTATAGGAAAGAGCCCTCAGGGACTGAACATATCTCCCATTCCCATGCATTACTGAAACTCGGAAAAAGTTATTAAACAATAAGAGACAGCCTGTGATCCACAGCAATTAAATCCTGCCTGCAGCTGTGAATGCAGACAAATTGGAGATGAGTCCCTGCAGCTCCTTCCTGCACGAACGCTCCTGCACACACTCACAAGGAAATGCTCTACTGCAGTAATCAGTGACAGCAAAGAGCCACAAAGGCAAGGCAGAGCCAAAGATTCTCCCCAGCAGCCAGCCCCACCAGAACCCCTGCACTGTTGGTTGTTCTAGGTCTGGAGACTCTTCCCTGGTGTTGTTCTTCAGTTGAAATAGGAGTCTCTTAAAGACATCCCAAATCGTCTCATTTCATGCAGTTTCTCTGAAGCAAGAAAATAAGCAGTTGGGGGAGGTGAAACTTACATAAGCTTCAAGGTATACAGGGCTTTCCTGAGCTGGGCTCTTCAGCCTGAAAGAGGAGCCCCATGGCGCTGGGCTGAGAGAAATGAAGCAGTTTGGAGTCTCCCTAGAGCTCTGGGCAACACTTCCACCTTCTACCATAACTTTTACAAGAGGAAGAAAATAGGCTGGGTCTCAACCCCTAGAGAAGCAGAGACCCCTTTTTGACCTGATTCAGAGAAGCTGCTTCTGGATTTTATAAGTACTCATCCCTGAGACCAGGCTCAGCTCCGTAATAGGAGGCAGCTTCTATAAGTAAATTGCTAGTTAAAACCAGTTTGCTCTGAGAGCCTAGGAGGCTGGGCAGCCTTGTATACACTGACAGTCCTCATCTGTGGACCCTTCTCTCTTCATTCTACTGAGCCCCTAGCCCTGAAGGCTAACCAAATTCAGCTGCTGAGTCAGGAGGGAGCCTGAGACTTGACTTTCCCCTCAAACACCCAATTGCCACAAAACAGGCTTATCATTCCACCAAATACCACCCTAAACACCAGCCCCTATAGGGTGTCCTACAAAGGGGCTGTGCACTTCCCCCAAAAAGCCCAGGCTAACCACAAATCCTCATGTTGGCATAGCCTTCAGATCACAAATTCCCAGGGGATGGCTTGGATTACAACTTTCAGATTTAGAAATGCTCCGGGTAGGAGGAGTGGTATGAACCCTAGACCTCAGTGAAAAGAGGGCAAAGAAAACCTCTCTTCCCATGTTAGAGCTGAAAGAGGAGGTTGATGCATTTTTTTTCTTTTCTTTCTGAAAGATTGCCATCATCAGAGTCACAACCAGCTGAGGGACTGGAAACCACTGTGGTTCATCTGCAGCCCCAAACTAGCTGAATTTTCCAGGATAAAATTAGTGAACATGGCAACCAAGACAACACAGAAGTCAGCACTAATTAGCTCCCTGGGTGACAACTTTTGGTAGGAGTCAGTAGAGATCTTCATTTTTAGTATCTAAACTGGAACCCAGGTTCCAGGGTCCTATTCCTTCAGTAATCTAATGTCTTTGGGAATTCCTGTTAAATTTCTGTGATACTCTAATGAGGGAAAAAAACAGAAACAGAAAGATAATAGCTAATACAAAATGTTCGAAGTATTTGGCATTTATTATATCATTTAATTATCACAACAACCAATATTAACCCCATTTTGTAGATAAAAAAATGAAACAAAGGTTTTTTGTTTTTGTTTTTTATAAAGACAGGGTTTCACCATGTTGGTCAGGCTGGTCTTGAACTCCTGACCTCAGGTGATCCGCCCGCCTTGGCCTCCAAAGTGCTTGGATTACAGGCGTGAGCCACCACGCCCGGCTGAAACAAAGGTTTGGTACTTTGCCTACATCGCAGGTAAGTAGCAGAGCTACATACATATCTGACATGCAGCGGAGGAGCTGGATTTAACACAACAGTGTGGGTACCAGGAAAGCGGTTGTAGAGGGCAAGCTTGTGATGCCACTACCCAGACTGACTTCACTTGGGAAGGCTGATCCTTGTTTTTGGAAATGAGACTGTGCCTACAAAAAGACAATGGGAGGCGTCTTTCCAAAGTCTCTGCCTTGCCCCCACCACCAACTCCCCTACCCCATGAACAGTGTTTTTTAGAAACAGTAAATCAGTTAATGGAATGGGTCTGGCCACGATGAACACCACAGAGCCTGCTGGAAGACCTAGTTTGTAACAAGGACTGCAGAATGAAGTCTGTTCTTGAAGGGGACATCTCCCCAGGTGCTGGCAGGGGCTTCTGAATATCAGAAAAGGTCCCTCCAACGTTCCTGACTGAATGAGTGCAGGGCAGGATGCCACCTTTCTAAAAGGGAATAGTGGCCCTCCCCGGGGGTCAGGGATGGAGTTATTGTTAGAGGCTACAGAAGGAATGCGAGAGCCTTACATCCCTAGGAGAGAGGGGATAGAAGCGAAGTGAGGGGGTATGGGGAGCCAGAATAACCTCGGGCAGTAAGACAGATGCAGAGGGCAGTATCCCAAGGGGATGACCTACCACCCGAGAGCTCAGCATCCCCCCCTCCCGACTCTACAGCCGATACTAGTTACCCCCAAAAGCCCTGTCCACAGTAGGGAGACTGAAAGCTCCCCGCACCCCGCCTTCCAATCGTTTCCCAGCACCCCGAGGCGGGAGCTTTCCCAGGAGGGCAGTGGGGCGCTCCTGGAGGGTTCTCCGGGCTGCCTAGCTTTCCTTCGCCTCCCTGGGATCCCGAGCTGCAGCCCCCTCCCCGCCGCAACCCTGCCGAGAGTGCCGGGGGCCGCGCCGCTCACCTCGCTCATCTCCACAGCCGGACAGCGCGCTCGGGGCGCGACACGCACAGGTGAGGCGAGGGGCCCTCGGGGCTGCGCGGGCGATGGCTGAGAGTTGCCGGGCTCTGCGGCAGGGGCTACGGCTGACCAGGAGAGGAGTTAGTACGGAGAGCCGCTGCTCTGGTGCTGGCGCCCGGGATTCTCTGCGCCCAGCTCCTACCGGACGACCCCTCTCGACCCGTCCTGTCAGAGCCCCTCCGCGCACCGCCTCCGGCCCCACCTTTTATACTCAGCTCGTACCCGCCTCCAGCCCAACCAATAGTAGCTTCTCCTACCGTAGAGTGACAACCTCTTGCATCCAATGGTGGCAGGTTTAGAGGTCTGCTGCATTTCCAAACTAGGGTAAGACAGAGAGCGGGAAGGAGGGGGAGACCGTCGGGGGATGCGGGGACAGAAAATGAAGTAGTGAGAGCAAGGAAGGAGAGGGAGGAAGGAGAGGTACACGAAGGAGGCAAGGAGGGAAAGATAAGGAAGGAGTGTGGACGTCTCAGATAGAGAAGAGCTGGAAGGAAATCAAGAGGGTGCACGGAAAGCAGGAAACAGCGAATGAAAGAGATAAAGCTAAGAGATGTTGCAGATTAAGATTTAGTAGTAGGATGTCACCCTGGACAAGGGAACAGCACAAGAGAGTGAGGAAGGCTGGGGGAGAGGGGAGAGGGAGAGAGAGAGAGAGGGAGGGAGGCAGGGAGGGAGGGAGGGAGGCTGGAGCAAATGGACAGGGTTCTTTGGCAAAGAACAGGGAAAATGTGAAGGGCCTGTTTGATGTGCAAGATCATAGATCTTAGCAGTCGGAAGACATTTTAGGATTCATCAACTCTTACCTCCCACACAATGCAAAAAACAAAAAACTCTCCAATAAAATTTAAAATGATGGTCTCCGGTGTCCACTTGAATTTGTAAATGACTCCCCACAAAAGTTAATTTACAACTGCTTATTCATTCAATCTCAGCCTGACAATGTGCTCTCCACTGTGCCAAGGCTGTGAAGCTGTTTTTAAAAAGATGCTCCTTATGACCTTGCACCTATTGTTTACATTAAAATATGCCAGTCCTGTCTCCTAGAGTCTAGCTTCTTTCTTCCCACACTTCAGATAGCAACTCACCATCTGGTGGTCCATATTATGAGTACCCATACTAGCCAAGTGCATTCTGTCCGGATGTGAGGGGCAGCTGGGAAAGATGCGGCCCACAATCCAATCTATAGAATTTATTACTAAATCATTACTATGTATATAATTTTAAGGAAAAAATATGATTAGGAAAATATGATGAGAAGAAATAGAACACCTGATACAAGTCATGAACTTTCTGATAACTTCAGTTGCTATTCTTGTTTATCTAAATATCTAGCTTTCTTTCTGTCTTTAAAGAAATCCTGCCTGGTATGGTGGCTCACATCTGTAATCCCAGCACTTTGGGAGGCTAAGTGGGTGGATCATCTAAGATCAGGAGTCTAAGACTAGCCTGACCAACATGGTGAGATCCTTCTCTACTAAGAATACAAAATTAGCCAGGCATGGTAGTGCACACCTGTAATCTCAGCTACTCGGGCGGCTGAGGCAGGAGAATCGCTTGAACTCAGGAGGCAGAGTTGCAGTGAGCTGAGATTGTGCCATTGCACTCCAGCCTGGGCAATAAGAGCAAAACTCCATCTAAAAAAGAAAAAGAAGAAAAAGAAATCCTTTAAATGACTATGCTTACAATACTCCTAGGCATTGTAAAACCTTTTAGCCTACTTAGAGATGCAGTCAGCCAAGGCCACTTTCAGCTCCAGCAGTTACACCCTTTTGATGGTTTCTTTCCTGGCCTGTTATAACTGTGTCATTAATAGTTGAGCTTTGGCCGGGCGCAGTGACTCACCCCTGTAATCCCAGCACTTTCGGAGGCCGAGGCGGGCAGATCACGAGGTCAAGAGATCGAGACCATCCTGGCCAACATGGTGAAACCCCGTCTCTACTAAAAAAAATACAAAAAAATTAGCTGGGCGTTGTGGCACGCACCTGTAGTCCCAGCTCTTGGGAGGCTGAGGCAGGAGAATTGCTTGAACCCGGGAGGCGGAGGTTGCAGTGAGCAGAGGTCGCACCATTGCACTCCAGCCTGGCGCCTGGTTATGGAGTGAGACTCTGTCTCAAAAAAAAAAAAAAAAAAAGGAAATAGTTGAGCTTCTCTTAGTCAGCCACCATGGATCTCTTCTCAACAACCAGATTCAGTTAAGACCTCAAACAGTCTTTTCTCTAGCTAGACCCCATTTGCTTTTACATTTCCTCTGCCAGGTCAAAAAAAGAGAAGATGGAAAAAAGATCACCTCTTTCCCCTCATCCACCTGAGATCTTCTGATTCTCACTTTCCAATGGGAATCCAGTTGCCTAAGTTACTAAGTTTCTAACTAGGATAGCTCCTACTCACTCTATAAAGCCTACTCCTCCAGCTTTCCCCACTGTTCTAATGAACCACTAATTAGCATCAAAAGATTATCTTTAGTGAAGCAGACCTTTCCAAAGTTCTTAAACAGCTATGAAAAGATTATAAAGACGATTCAAAATCTGAGATCGGGGATCAGCAGACTTTTTCTGTATCAACCGGATGATAAATACTTAAGGTTTTGCAGGGTATATATGTTCTCTGTCAAGACTACTTAAGTCTCCTGATTATAGCTTGAAAGAGGACATAGACAATATGTAAACAAATAGCTATGGCTATGTTCTAGTAAAACTTTATTTGTGGACACTAAAGTTTAAATTATACATAATTTTTATGTGTTACAAAATATTCTTTAAAAAATTTTTAATATTTTTTTTCTTTTTTTTGAGAGAAGGAAAGAAAAAAAAGGAGTGAAAGAGAGGAAGAAAGAGGAAGAAAAAGAGGCAAGAGAACAGAAATGTTGCTTTATTCTAAAAATGGGTATTAATAATGGCCGATCAATATTTCATTTAAACCTATGAGTAGGTGTGATGTGGTATTGACAAGAATGTATATTTTGTATATAAAAAAATTTTTTTTTAGTCTTTTGTATGATTTTATTTTCTTCCTTCAACCATAATAATATGATATCCAAATTTTGTCTTAACTGGTGGGTCTGTAAACACAGGCTTATCCATCCCACTTACAGGCAAGGCAAATGCTGCTTCTTGAAATGGTCCCACCATGGACCCTCTGGTCATCCAACCCAAGTCGCCCCCTTGCCTGGCTTTACTTCACTATATTGTGCAGCCACTTCATTGAATCTCATCCCAGACTTTAACTTTTCCATGGCTTCCATGATTTTGCTGTGTTTTTCACATAGAATGTGTCTGACCTTTACTGCATTGCCACCACCTTTGGGACCTTGAGCCTTCTTGTCGGCACTGTCACTCCCAGAGGCTTCTCCCCCTTTCCCCTCTTTTCCAGAACCACTTTTTCCTTTTGGCGGCATCTTGGAAACCTGCTGTTGAACTCTGTATAAAAAATTTTTAATATTAATGTGAAACCACTCTTAGCCCCAGGCAGCAGGCCAGATTTGGCTCATAGGCCATAAATTGCCAGCCCCTGCCACAGATGACTAAATGCCCAAGTATGGTACAAGGGTAAATTATATAATAATAAAAAGTATAAAAAAGACAAAAATAAACAAAAAAAGAATAAAATAATAATAATAAAAAGTAATGTCAGGCTGGGCATGGCTGGGAGCACTTTGGGAGATCAAAGCAGGCAAATCACCTGAGGTCAGGAGTTCAAGACCAGCCTAGCCAACATGGTGAAACTCTGTCTCTACTAAAAATACAAAAATTGGCCAGGTGTGGTGGCGCACACCTGTAGTCCTAGCTACTTGGGTGGCTGAGGTGTGAGAATCACTTGAACCCTAGAGGCAGAGGTTGCAATGAGCAGGGATCGTGCACTGCACTCCAGCTGGGGGGACAGAGCAAGACTCTGTCTCTAAAAAAAAAAAATAGTAACAAGTCAAAGACAGGCAGGGTGCAGTGGCTCATTCCTATAATCCCAGCACTTTGGAAGGCCAAGGTGGGCAGATCACTTGAGGCCAGGAGTTCAGACCAGCCTGGCCAACATGATGAGATCCTGTCTCTACTGAAAATACAAAAATTGGCCAGGAATGGTGGCACACACCTGTAGTCCTACCTACTCGGGTGGCTGAGGTATGAGAATCACTTGAACCCAGCAGGCGGAGGTTGCAGTGAGCCAAGATCATGCCACTACACTTTAGCCTGAGTGACAGAGCAAGGCTCTGTCTCACATAGTCAAAGAAGACAGAGATCAGCCAGAGATCAAAAGAATCAAAAGCTTCCTGAGGAAAGTGAAATTTGAGTTAGGCCTTAAAAGTAGAATATAAACAAATGGACAAAGAGAAAGAAGAAGGAGGAAAAGACGTGCCTCTCTGGTATCTGGGTGACAATAAGAAAAAATGGTGACAGAAAACTCAGGTTTTTGATGGAGAAGTTACAGGAGATACAGCAGGGTCCTAAATATCGAATAAGGATTTTAAATTTAGCCTTCATACAAATAGCACCTTTAGGTTATTCTTGCAGAAGAAACATAGGACTGATTTGACAAGAGAAAGACTAAGAGCAGGAAGGCCAAGATGGGGACACTGCAGTTGTACAAAGTGTAAGAGCAAGGACAGCATCAAGAAACACATGGCATAAGAAATCTGTAAGACTTGGTGACTAGAAAGATTTAGAGGAGGATTCACAATGACTTTGGAATTTAAGATCAGGAAGTTGGGAAAAATCTTCAATCTTTCATTGGCTTATTAAGCCCACATTATGGCCAGGACAGATGCTGAGTGTTGGAATAGAAAAACCTATACAACATAGAGCTTATGGTGTAGTAGGGGAGAGGCAGTCATGTGAATGCAAAGGTATGTTATAGGTTACATGATGGAAGTCTGGGCAAGTGCAGTGGGAATCCAGAGAAAGGAACAGAATGAGATATAATCTGCAGAGGCATCAGAAGTGACTGTTCAGCCTGAGACATATAGTGAGACCCTGTCTCTATAAAAATATATATATATATATATTTTATATATCTTTTTAGAGAGAGAGAGAGAGAGAGAAAGAGAGAGAGAGTATGGTAGTGTGAGCCTATGCTCCCAGCTACTTAGGAGGCTGGGGGTGGGGATCACTTGAGCTCAGGAGGTTGAAGCTGCATTAAGCCATGACCGCACCACTGCATTCCAGTGTGGGTGGCAGAGTGAGACCCTGTTTCAAAAAAAGAGTGACTACTAAGAACAGCAAAA